TAGCTTTACCAGGGAGCAGAAAGCCCAGCAGCACCCTCTGCAGCTCAGCGTGTAGACCTGAGACATAGAACTGGGGGACCGATCTTCACTGAGGAGGGCGGAGGAGTCTGCTCTAGTTTTAGGTTATTCTTTTTGAATCCAAGAAGGAAAAACTACCATTTTTACTTTCAGGCCAGGTAGGGGGTAGAAAAATGTGGAAAGATGATGCCCCCACGATAGTCTCCAGTTCCTGGGATCACATAATGTTACGTGATTATCATTTGTGATGTCGTGAAATTCTGGTCTATGCCACATGCGGTTCTGAATGCTTGAAAACGCTTCCCTTCTGGGAGTATAATGTGATAGGTAAGTAGCCTTCCTCTGCCTTTGCCATGCTGGTGTATGTAAGACTTTTGCTTTGTTTTCTGTTTTAATTGCTGGCGAGTGTATGCGCTCACTAGAGAGATGGAGGGGGAGAGAAGAGGGAGAAAGCACTCCTCAGTGGGGTGTGGTCATGCCGCAATCCCTTCTCTTCCATTCTCCTGTCAAGATTTTGGGCACCCATGCACATGGCCTGGCACGCTCACATTGGGGATGTGAACCACAGTCAGGCATGTCAGATCTGGCTCCCTTAACCACTGAGCCACAGAGCTAGCGGTAAGAAATTTTTAAAAAATATTTTATTTAACTTTATTTATTTATTTTAATTTGACCAAGGGGAGGGGGAGAGAAAGAGAGAGAGAGAGAGAAAGTGAGAAAGCAAGCTACCAGGTCTGGGACTTGAACCACAGTCAGCCATGTGGAAGTCCAGCGCCCTTAACCACCACACCACCTGCTGGTCCCGAGCAGTAAGAATTTTACTTGAGATCAGTGTTACTTGTTTTTATTTTTTTGTTCATTGCATGGAGAATAAATAATTATGGTCTACCTGATCCACTTCCTGGAAGATGATGACGGCCTTCACCACCTGTTGGGGGACCAGGACTTGTAAAAAACAAATTATTTAATTTTTTGTATTATTATTTTTCAGTTTGACCAGAGAGACAGAGAGAGGGAGAGTGAGAAAGCAAGCTACCAGGTCTGAGAAACAAACCATGGTCAGCCATGTAGTGGTCCAGCACCTTAACTACCGTGCCACTTGCTGGCCCCCAGGTTTTTTTTTTTTAATTGCCAGAGGGTGTATGTGCTTGCCAGAGAGAGAGAAAGAGACAAAGCATCCCGTCCCCCCGGGACACACATGTGCTGGGTCTGTTTCTCAAGCTTCTGGATCTGAGACTCAAACCAAGCAGTTGGCCACGTGGGACGTGGTGATGCCATAATCCCTTCTCCAACTCTCCACCCTGTCGGGATCTGGAGCATGCATGCATATATACTCAGCATATTTTTCAAGCCACTGGGGCTGGGATTCAAACCATGGTTAACCATGTGGCTTCCTTAACCAGAAGGCTTTGAAGGTGGCCAGAAGTCCTGGATTTCTATTGGTTTTATTTTTCTTTATCGGTGGGATAGCACATGTACAAACATGTGAGAGAAGGAGTAACAGAGATGAGCTTTCTCTCGGGTCATCTTGCCGTGATCCCCTTCCTCCACACCTTGGGCACTTGCCATTGTGCTTCAGGGTGATGGGGCCAGGGACTCAAACCACAGTTGCCATGTGAAATCCAGCTTCTCTTGAACAGGGCTCTACCACTATGCCATGGAACTGGCCCAAAGCTTTTTTTTTTTTTTTTTAAATAATTTTTAAAATGTAATTTTATTTACTTGTTCATTTATTTTAATTTGACCAAAGAGACACATACAGAGAGAGAGAGAAAGAGAGAAAGCAAGCCACCAGGTCCGGGACTTGAACCACGATTGGCCATGTGGGAGTGTCCAACACATAACCACCACGCCACCGGCTGGTCCCAGGCTTTTTATTTTTATTTATTTATAAAATTTATTATTTATTTTTTAAAATTACCTATAGGGCATGTGCACTCATGAGAGAGAGAGGAAGAGAAAGTGAGAAAGCAAGCCACCAGATTCGGGACTCAAACTGTAGTTGGCCTTTGGAGTCTAGCGCCTTAACTGTCACACCACCTGCTGGCCCCAGGATTTTTATCTTTAATTAAAATCCAAGATACCATGTGGATTGTATCATATTTAACTCTACCCATGTTTCATTTTCCCTCTATCTGATGAGTTAATGTCTTCTGTATTAAAAACATGTTTATGGGATATCTAAAAGTTAAACAGACTCCAGTATGAACATTAAATTAAGTGTAATCTGAAATACATTTAAGCTTAGTATGCCCGCAACATCAGATTAGAAGAACAAAGGCAAGGCCTTTACTGACAGGAACAGCATGTAAATTTTTCAAAGCCGTGTGCTCTGTATGATCTGTGAAGCAGGGGTATTTCAGAGGAGTTTGGTGCTTGTTTGCTTAGCTGTCAGGAACAATATTGACTGCTTGGCTGCTCAGGAGGGGTAAAAGGATGGGCGTTGGGGCTGGAGGACGGAAGTACAGCTTTCTGAACCAGGGCAGGTGTCCTTGTGTGTCAAGAGAAAGCAGGAACTGTCCAGGGCCGGTGATGAAGGCTGGTTCTCCTGTCCACCTCCTGTCTATCTGTTCAACAGAAGAACTTCAAAAAGTTTTGTGAAAATAAAGACCTCAGAAGAAGAGAGGGAGGAAAACAATGAAGTGTCAGGTAGTGCCAATGCTTGCAGGCCCGTAAACTGGGATGGACAGGAGTGGAATACCTTATTATTTTTTATTTTATTTTATTTTATTTTTTTGCTAGAGAGGAGAGGAGAAAGCACCCTCCCATGGGAACAGCCACATTGCAACCCCCTCTCCATCCCTCTCTCTCCTTCTGGGACACACTTGCGCTGGGCCTGTTTCTCAAGCTGGGTCTGAGACTCAAACCAAGCAGTTGACCATGCGGGGTCTGGCTGCCTTAACCACTAGGCCATGGAGCCAGCTCCAGAAGTGAAATTCTTTAGGCAAAGATGGGTAGCAGTGGATGGGTGAGGGACACAGGGCTCTCAGCCCCCAGGAGAGCTGCAATGGGAAGAAGCACTCCAGTTCCCTGCTCTCCTCTCCCCTACCTGAGAAAAATCTGGAACGCAAAACCACCAGGAGGCACTCACTGTTCAGCAGGAAACAATGCAGTCAAGGGGGGTGGAGACTCTCCCTGGATAACTCTCAGTATTAGGCAGCCCTCTCCCGCCTGGGGGCTCAAAATGATCTCTCATGGAGGCAGTTTGTCATGGTCCCTAATGGGCTGGCAAGTCAGGGGCCATGGTCTAAGCCTACCCAGGGCTCATCTCAAAATGATGAGCAGTTGCAAAGTGGAGTCTCTAATAACAGGCTGGGTGTGGAAGGGTGGATAGCTTCCCCATCCCATCCCCTCCCAGCTCCTGAAGCCTGAGGGAATAAGCAAGAAGGAGGGCTGGGCTGATCAGCTTTATAACCCAGACAGTACTGGTCCTGATGGATTAAAAGAACATTAAGGCCACAGCCAGGGACACCGCATTTTTCATTTATCCAAATTGATTTTGCCACTGACTCTCCTAATAGTCTGGGAAGGCAAGCTGGCTTCCTCGGACCATGGGCACCTGGGCATGCTCTGGAGAAAGTGGGGCACCAGATTGACCCAAGGCTGTGATGGGAATGGTGGCACCTGGGCCTCCCTCTGACCTGAGTCCTGCAGACCACACTCACACTGTCAACGGGCGTGCAGCCAGCACCAGGCCTTCAGGCTCACCTGGCTCAGGGCAGGGCTGGGTGCTTCTTCAGATGCAGAGGGCAGCATGACAGCCCTCAGTCAGCCCAGTCTCCTCCACAGAGGGTCGAGCCGACTTCCCACTGCCTCCACTGCTTATGCCCCTCCACAGGTGAGCAGGCATGGCGCGTGTGGGCATGGCTTCAGCCTCGTTTAGGACTCTCCGGCCCTTTCCCCTCTTTCCTGACAACCACTGAGCCAGCAGCCCCTGGCCCCTCACTTTGAGGCAGGCCTACCAAGAAGGTTCCCAGTTCTAGCTGGTATTATTGGCAAAGCAATCTGCAAAAGGCCCCTGCTCTGCCTCTTCACCCCCCCACCCCATCCCATTGCTCTTTGCTTCCTGCATTTCATGCTTACTCCACCTCTCTCTCAGTGCCCCGCTACACCGGAGGACTGACAGTACCTGGGAGAGGGGCCGTGGGCTCAGTCTTCTTGCAAAAGCTGGCTCGGACATAGGGGGATAGTCCTGGGCTGTGAGGCCCTGGATGCTGTGCACTGTCCCCTCCTCCTGAGTAGGCTAATGAGGGCTCCACTTGGTACCTCGCCCCCCCCCCCCCCCTTCTTCCTTAATACCACCATGCGCCCTGCCAGTGGTACCTTGGCACAAACAACCACTTAGGGGCAGCCTTCCCATCTGCAAGCTGGCCATAACTCCCACCTGAAAGCGATGTCTTGTACAATAAGCAAACTGAGGTGGAAACCTTGCCATTTAATAGCTAGTGGTTTCCGCTTAACTCTCCACCTTCCTCCAGCTCCTCTTCCTGCTTCCCACTTTCCACACGGCCCCCCTTCTCCTCCCACCTACCCATTTTCATAGACCTCAGATACCTTTATCTTCCCCAAGGCTCCTCCTCTGCCTCACCAATCCTTTAGGCTCAGGAGCCCCCACCACCCAGGTGGCCACTGTAGGTTGAAGTGGCTCTGAGAGGGAAGGAAGGCAGAGTGGGGCTCAGGGATCCCCCAGAGCCATTTGGCCAAATGCTAGGGGGCTCCCGAGCCGATAATTTAGCTCTCCGCTACAGTGGGTTCTGGAGGCCAGGGAGAAGGAGCTGGCTCCAGAGACATGGGAGGCGAGGATGGGGTCCCTTTCCCTGCCCCGTGACCTTGAGAGGAGGCGGGGGACTGCGCCTCGGCCCCGGGCCCGCAGGGCGGTCCCCGCCACCTCCTCGGGCCTCCTCCCGCTCGGGCTCGGCTCCCGGGTCCCCGCCCTCCCGCCGCCCGCTCGGTCTCCTCCCCTCACTGCAGCGCTCGCCGCGCGCCCATCGATCAGCCCCTCCGCCGGGCGCAGACTGCTCAGCTCAGCAAGTCTTGCGGCAAAGGCACTTCGCGGCGGAGTTGGGGCAGGGGCGGAGCGGGGACTCCGCGCCCCGGGGAACGGACGCCGCTGCTAAACCGTCGCCAGCGCCGCGTCCTTGCAGCCTGACGCCCCCTCGCACCGGGGACCGGGACCTCTCCTGTCTCCTCCGGACCGCTCTCTGGTAAGTCCGCGCCCCTGCCCGTGGGGCAGCGGCCTTCCCCGCCAAAGTTTGTCCTCCCTGGGCTGCTGAGTCCAGGGGCCACGGGGTGGGATCTGGCTCCCGGGAGGAGGGTGGGGTCGGAGAAGTTTGAGGCCGAGGCGGCCGGGATCCTGCACCGTCCTTTGGGGGAGTTTGGAGGCGTCGGCAGAAGATTCGATGGGGGAGCCGTACCGAGGGCCGGGGAGCCGGCTGCTCCGGGGACTGGCGCGGGCCGACGTCCCCTGCACCCCCGCTCTGCGCCCCAGTCCTGCCCTCCCTATGCCCTCCACTCGCGCGTTGCCCACCCCTCGCCCATCTGAGCGGATTCTGGCGAAGGTTCTTTTGCCCCCACCTCAAGCCTCGGGGACCCCCTTGGCCCCGCCGTCGCCGTCGTGGGAGGTGAGGGGAGGTCCGTGAGTTCTGGGAGCCAGAGAGCCTGGGTCAGGCAGAAGCTGGGGAGACGGTCTACAGGCACTATCTGGAAATGTGGGTCCGAAGGAGCTGGAGCTGGGACTGGGAAGGGAGGCAGGGGATGGAGGCGCCCCTCGCCTGCGTTCAAATCTCATGACTCAGCATTGCCTAGGACGTCCCGTCCTGCTTCAGCCTCCCCGGGCTGGGATCCTGCCGGAGACCACGTAGCTCACTCCCCTTTCTGGACTCTTCCATGCACCTTTCCCATTATGCCCCCTCCTCCCTCTGCAGCACCCCCTACCCCACAGGGCTTTATTTTCAACTAGAAAGAGCTTCATCCTTTCCCTATTCAACTGACCCAAGTCCCCCCTCCCACTTTTCTGCTTCTCCCTGTCCACCCTCACATTCCACAGGTGCCTCGAGGACACCCCCAGCCCACAGTATGTGGGGGTCTCCTTCTGCCGGCACCCTTCCCACCCCCTGCTGAGGTATTGGGGTAGGTCACTCTCCACTGCAGAAGGGAGGGAGCCAAGGACAGAGGTGTTGCCGGGCTGGCCACGAGGGGGCTGCTGCAGTGGGTGGGAGAGGACAGAGCTTAGGGGTGGTCAGGCCCAGGATGGACCAGGGTGGGCACCAGGAAGAGGAAATCCTTCTTATCTGGGGTGCAGGCAGCCAGGAAGGTGGACTGGCTCTGACCTGGAGAGCCAGTTGGTGTCCTTCGCCCAACCCCCCTGCTGGGGCCCTGGGGGGCTTTCTCCCCTGCTTAATGGTGTTTTCAACGCAGTCTATCCAGCTCTTGGGGACCTGGGCACTTCATCAGAGGGAGTGACAGCAAGGGACAGCGTAGCTAGCCATCAGGGCCTGCTTAGACCAGACCCAACCTCGGTGCTGCTAGAAACATCTCCATGACCCACAGAAGTGCTGAAAACGACCAGGTCCAAATCCCCTAGGCTGGGCCAGAGGAGCAGGTGGGAGGGGATGGCAGCTCTGATGCAGTGGGACGTGCCTGGTGTCCTGGCAGGCACTGCAAGCTGCAGCTTGTGTCAGGGCCCCGGGGTGAGTCAGCGTCAGGGGTCCACGCCAGGCACACTGCGGCCTGGGCTCAGGAGTCTAGCACCAACCCTTGCCCTCCTCCCCATGCCCCCAGGCAACAGCCAGAGCCAGCAAAGGCTCCTCGTGGGCCACTCTCCCTCCATATGGCCTGCCTCTGCCCTGCTGGCTCCCAGACAGGTCCCTGGCCTCATCCTTCTGGACTCCCTGGAGGGCCTGGCTTTATCTGGGGACCACCTGGGCTTGATCCTCACCTTGTCTCCTCCCAACTTTGCCAAGGAAGTGCTGGGAGAGCATTGAGAAAGCTGAGGAGGGGGAGGCGGAGGTGAGGATCCAGCCATAGCGCAGGCCAGTCTGGAACAGAGACCAGTCTGCTCTGTTGGCCAGCTTTGTTCAGCTTTCCCAGGCAACTTAGTTTTATTATTTTTGTTTTGTATTTTTTGTTTTATCTGGTGGTAGTGGCAGCTGCGGTGGGTGGGGGGATCTGGGGGTGGTTTCTTTTTTAGCTTTGGGGCCTGACATCCACAGATTAGGACCAGGGGAGGAGAAAGGGGTTAGTGTTTGTTAGCAGGCCCTTTTCCTCACCGCAGAGGAGCTTAGCATTGGCTTGGTCTTACCACTGGAGTTGGTTTTACCCCTTGGCAAAGCATGGACCTTGCTGAAGACCTGGGAGGGCCAGGGAGACCTTTCCTGGAGCGGAGTCTGAGTTCTCTTGACCTCACACTGGTTCCATCCCTGTCACCCTCTGGCAGCTTCTAAGCAGGGGCAGCAGGGCTGTCTCTGACACTGCAGAGACTTGGGCTGGGGGAACTTTGGAAATGGCTGGAGAAGCCTCTTTCTTGTCCTTGCCAAGTACTAGAGGCCAGGCTACCCTAATACTCCCCAGCCCCTCTGTGAGCCTGGCCTCGAGTGGCCTCTCTGTCTCTACCTGGGTTTTATCTTACCTCAGCCAGGTCTCCTCTTTTCCACGAAGTCTGTGTGGCCCTCTCAGGAGAGAGTAGCCTGGGGGGCAGCAAGTGGGCTGGACCTGGGGCACAGGAACAGTGAGGATGGAGGAGGAGGACGTTAGGGCTCAGTGGGCTGGAAGAGCGACTCCTCTTCCGTTCCCTAACCAGATGTGTCCTTGTGGGCAATCAGAGGCTGCAGGTGAGCGGAGATGCTGTTCGCCTGGTCTGACATTCACCACGTGGCCTTCCCTGGTCTTGGCAGGTTCTAGCCAAAGCTGGCCTTGCTCTTTGTGGGACCGGAGGGTCCAGGGTGGAGGAGGATCCTCTTTAAAAACCAGGACAGTAAGGCAGTGGGAGAAACAGAGTGTTTATCCAGTGGTGGTGAAGATGGGCGTCAAGTCAGAGAGGCCAGGAGCCAGGAAGCCTGGGTTCATCTCCTGGGGCCACTAATTACAACGTGTGTGATGTTACGCACTCATTCATGCTCGCGTTTAATTAGCAAGCACCTACTACGTGCCACTGCACACAACAGACAGAAATCCCTGCTGTTGTGGATTTGCATTCTGGTGGGCCTAGGCAGGTGTTTTGTTTGTTTGTTTTGGCCATTCTGAGCATCAGTTTCCATGTTTGGTTACGGATGACTTTTTGAGAATCTGCTGAAGGCCAGCACAGTGCTGGGCAATGCAGATTCAGATGGGATCATGGCACTTATGACCTGGTAAGTTCCACACAGATGAATATGACATAAATGATTCATTACTGCTGTGACTGGTGTTCTAAAGACACAGGGGATGCTCCAGGAGAATAGAACAGGGTGACCTGTCCAGGTCTGGAGAATTCTCTCTATGAAACAGCAGTCATCAGGACCGGCATAATATTTACATTGCTGGATTCCCATGTAGTCAACCACGGTTCGAATCCTGGACCGGATGACTTAAAACTCACGCCAAGCACGTGTGCATGCATGCCCAAGATCCCGAGAGGAGGATAGAGGAGAAGGAACTGTGTGGCCATCTCCCCTGGGGGGTGATTTCTCACTTTCTGTCTCTCTGGCAAGCACACACACCCTATAGCAAAAAACTCTCTCTCTCTCTCTAAAAAAAAAAAAATAAAAACAAAGACAGTACTGACACCTACCTTAAAGCTACGAGGTAGCTTTATATCAATGATAACTATACGTGTTAGCTCTAAATGAGCTCATAGTCCACTGTATACAAATTAGATCCAGTTCTAAATTCTGTGTGAGCAATCCATGCACAGGCACCACAATGACCGTTCCTCCTGCTGTCACAGAGAAGCTGGGATTGGTCTTGGGTTCTCATAGGCTCAGGAAGCCCGCCATGAACAATACAGTTCCATGGGAGAAATGTCATAGAAATTTTTTCTAAGAGGCAGTGTAGTGACTGTAGCCAGGTAGCCTGGGTTTATCTTCGTTCTGCCACTTGCTTTGACTTTGGGCAAGTTAATCAAACTCTGCTTCTCAGTCTTCCATCCGTAGAATGGAACTAAAATTCTTCTCTATGACACAGGTTATTCTTGGTGAGCTTTGAATGATTTAATCCCTGCAAGGTGTTTAGCACAGGGCTGAGCACATGCTGAGTTTGTGGAGTATTTCCTTTTTATTCTTTTTTAAATAATTATTTTATTTTAACTTATTTATTTGTTTGTTTATTTTTAATTTGACCAAAGAGGAACAGAGTGAGGGAGAGAGGGAAAGTGAGAAAAGAAGCTGCTAGGTCTGGGACTCGAACTGTGGTCGGCCATGTGGGAGTCCAGTGTCCTTAACCACCATGCCACCTGCCATCTTCCCATGGAGTATTTTCTGTCATCATGTTGTTTGTGGCCGCCTCAAAGTCTCTCTTTCTTTCTTTCTTTCTTTCTTTCTTTTTTTCTTTCTTCTTTCTTTCTTTCGGTTATAGAGTGCATGTACTCGCCAGAGAGGAGAGAGGGAGAGGGGGAGAGAGGGAGAGCAAGCACTCCAGTGGGGGTGACCACACTGCAGTCTGTTCCCCTCATTCTCCTCTTGGGATTCTGGGCATGCACACATGTACCTGGCATGTCTTTCAAGCTGCCAGGTCTGGGATCTGAAACACGCAGTCGGCCACGGGTATCCAGCCACCTTAACCATCACGTCACCTGCCGGCCCCCTCAAAGTCCTTTCCGTGCTTCTTTCTTGGGTCTCCAGCTGACGGGAGCATTTTCCACTTCTATTTATTTTGTTAAGTTTATTTACTTATTCCATGAGCAAAAGAGACAGAGGGAGAGCTAGAGATATGGCACTCCCAGCAGGGCCTTGATGCCACCGTCCAGCCTCAGGCTGGCTCGTGGGCGGGCACATGCCCAGCGTACTCAGGGAGGCCTGTGGATATGAACCTGGGACCTTCCCATGAGGGCCAGCTTTGCAGAGGGTCATGTTTACTGCTGTGCCGTTTGGCCCCCATTTCTCTTATTCTTAAAAACCAAGGGAAGGGGTTGTAATAACTCCCTTGGGCTGTTCAGTATTTCCTTGCTCTGATGTTCAGGCCATTCTTCTTGATGCCTAACGAGCCGTTTCTTGCCAAAGCTTCGTTTCTG